GAAGACCGGGGAGCCCACATCTTCAGCAGCCTCAGGTGCCTCAGAGGGTGAAGGGTCACAGACATGCTGGCATCCACACACTAACACAGCAATAGCAGGTGTCCAGAAAGCAGGATCTCTGCAGCTACCATCTGAAGGCTTGAGGAGGGAGGGGGGCTGGGAACAAGCCAGCCCTAGTCACCCTCTTCTCTGTTCTCAGCTTGTCCTCACCATTCTGTGGGTCCTCAGTTTGAGTGAGGAGCTGGGTGGTTTGGAGAGTGAGGTGTGTCTGGTCCCTGGGGTGAAGTTCCAGAAATCAGGTTGCAGTCTGTCTGTTTAAGGGTTCATGCCTGCAGGATTCTGCCCCTCTGGCTTCTCTGACATCTCTGAATATATGTGAAGAAGGTTGTGAGACAGGTGATATAGTGTGTGTGTGTGTGTGTGTGTGCGCACGCGTGTGTGCATGCATGTGTGTGTGTGCATGCATGTATGTGTGTTAGGTGTTGCAAAGTCTGAGGAGTGGTATCCAGAACACATGAGGGGGAAAATCTGGACATATTTACAGCTTCACAGGCTTTGACGGGATTTGAAGTGACATGGCATGTGACATGGCAGGTGGCTCTGGGGTCGCTTGGATGCTTTCAGCACAGAGCTGGCGTGCACTGGCAACGGGTGTGTGAAGGCTTCGGGGCCCTAGTTTCCAGTTCCATTGCAGGAGTCAGTTACTGCTGAGCGAGGCCTGGCCCTTCTGGCCTCTGCTTGAAACCACCTTGGCACCGATCAGGGGCAGCAGTGAAAAGCGCTGCAGGTGAGGTTCTTTCCTCTCTGAGTGGAAACTTGACAGCAATAGTTGTTTGTTTCCAAGGGCCAGCCTGTTTTCCACTGTCGCATGCAGTGCTTGTATGCCTGCCACATTCCCTCGCAACAACTGAGGAAATGTCCCGATTCTTATGTGCTGCAGGAATTGTGTCAAATAGAGCAGCAATAAGTGGGCTGTCCCCTGTGATCAGGATTTTCACCATGCACGTCTCCAGAAGCTTGCATCTCATCTGTTAGGACACTAGCCTTATGGTGGTTACCTTTCTAGTATATTCAGCAGAGATGCGAGTGGTGCCCACAGCCCTCAGCATGTCCGGCTCAGAGACCCGTGGGCCTCGCTCTTGTCCGGTGCTGTCGCCTCCTCCAGGGCTGCCCAGTTGCACAGCTCCAGGGGTATCCTCTGCATTATTCTTTTCCTGGAGTCTCCCCGGGACTCTGCAAAGAGGGTCCCAGCTCCTCAGTCTGCTCAGGCCTGTCTTGGCACTTGCATTCCTCAGCTCTGAAAATCAGTTGTGCTGTCTGGGGGGCGGACAGGGATGGAGGCAGAAGGCTGGGCTGTGTGAGGATAACATGGAGATGTGGAGGCTTCTGCCTGGGGACAGAGCCGGTCCAGGGACCGAGCCAACAGGGAGGGTGTTTGCTGGGAACAACAGTGATGTCTCTGACTTTCCTGGCATTTAAAATGAGTCTCGCTCTATATGTCAATTCAGGAACATGTCCTCTGCATTGCTGTGGGGATGGGCGAGCATTGTAGGGACACGTTGAAAACCCTGGTGGTGAGTCCATACACAGCTGGCACCAAAAAAGCAGACATGTCTGCTTGCCCACCGCTGAGATTAGAACAGTGGTTGGCATTCTGGCTCTGCCACTCACCCCCCAGTGTCCTGGCCCAGAAAATAATGCTGTCGTTTTGTTCCTCTCTCCTCCAGAATGGCAGCAAAGACAGCTCTCTGGACATGCTGGGCACGGACATCTGGGCTGCCAACACCTTTGATTCCTTCAGGTGAGCTCCTCTTCCGCTTGCCCTTGACATGTGACTCCAGCTGGAACCCCGGCTGATTTTCCCAAGTGCCCTGTGAGGTCTTGGGGGCGGAGTAAATGTTGAGAAGTTGCTGATCAAGCAGTGGAGAGAAACAAAGACAAAGAAGGGGTAGAAAGGGTGCGCCTGAAAAGGAAGGAGGCCAGAGAAAGGAGAGGGGGTGATCAAAGGAAGGAAAATGAGGAGGGAGCCTCAGGGGAAGAAACAGGAGGCAGAGGAAAAGGGGTTGAGGGGAAAAGCAAGAAGCTGACAGTCCAGCTGTCGGGGGGGAGGGAGGAGAAGCAGAGGGGAGCACTGAGGGGCTGGAGAGCCAAGGAGAACGGCACATGGCGGGCGTCCAGCTCTGTGCTAGGGCTCGGGAGCACAGCTGTGGCTGCAGGCCCCCACCCTAACACCTGAGCTCATGGGGGCATGGCTGGCTGCAGAGTGGTCTGGAGGAGAGGAAGGGCTGTCAGTGCTTCAGACGCCAGTACCTCAGGAGCTTTCTGACGGGCCACGTTGGAAGGACGTCTGTTGACCGGGGTTCTCAGGACGTGGGTTGCCCTGGTGTCCACTCCTGGAGTCATGGCCTCGGGCTTGGGGCATGGGAGGTGGCGGCCCTTTAACTCAGCTCTACCCCTGCCCCTTGAGTTGGCCGACTCTGGGGGTGCTCCAGATACACCCCTGGCCAGGGCCCAGGCTCACCAAGTGTGGAACTGCTGTGGGTCTCCTGGGACTGGAAGCTGTGGGCTGGCCTCCCGCTTCCCCACTGACTTGCCTTATATACCTCAGAGCCATCTTGTCGCCATTTTGAGCTGCTGTCTGAGGCTCTAGTGACAGGTATTTAGTCTACTTTCTCTCTCTAGCCTTTCTCAAAATGTTGATGTGAAAATAAACTATGAAGTGTTTTAGAGTGACCACTGTGGAGTAAATACCTGGCCCATGCTTGTGTTTTATAGGCGTGCATTACCATCCAGCACAGGTGAGGAGAGGCGAGGGCCTTGCAGCAGCCCCCTGCCCTGTGGTCTAGGGGCACAGAGCTGACACCTGCTTGCCCACCGCTGAAATTAGAAGAGCACTTGAGCTCCATTCTAGATGATAAGCCTCTGCCTGACCCCGACCCTTAGTGGGGTACCTCCTCTTCCTGTCACCTTCTTTCTGAGGATACGTCCTACCCCGCTGTGTCTGGGGTATCTGTAACTGGGCTTGTCTTATCCTTGCCTCACATCTCTCGCCCTCCCTCACCCCCTAGTGGTGCCACCTGGGACCTGCAGCCTGAAAAGCTGGACTTCACCCAGTTTCACCGGAAGCTCAGACACGTGCCCAAGCAGCCTCTACCACACATCGACCGTGAAGGGTAAGACAGGCCAGGAGGTCTCCTGCAAAGCGGCAGGGTGGTGCAGGGCACAGCATAGTCATACAGGGCAGATAGGGATCTTTCCCTGGACAGGTGGGCATCCCTGCTGCCCTGGGGGCACACAGGTGGCTAATGTCCCGAGAAGCTCTGCTCCCAGAAATGCAGGGTCACTGGCTTCTCTTTGGAATCACCCACCTTCCACTACCAGATCCCTCCAGCTCACTCTGCCTGCTTGCCTTCCTGGCCACCTACAGCAGTGCTGCTTGTCAGACGTCTACATCACTGGATCTCACACTTGGTCAGAACCACAGGTGGGATGGGGGTTGTTAAAATACAGATCGCTGACTCCAACCCAGAGCCTCTGATTCGGGAGGTTTGGGGTAGCACCTGACAGCACGCATTTTTAATGAGTTCCTAGGGGACACCGATACTCACTTTGAGAACTCTGGTACAGTAGATGAATTACTCTGGGTTGTTTCTATATTAGCATTGCCTTCCCCTTCTAAACATGGTGTCAGGGTCAAGGCTTCCTCAGAACAGGAGTATGACTCAGACCAGACACAGGTATGGGACAGATGGTTTCTTTCTTTATTAAAAATAATCTTCATTAAGACAAAATTCACATTTTAAAGTGTTCAATAGTATTTAGTACATTCATAGTGATATGTAACCGTTACCTCTACCAAGTTCCAAAACATTTCACCCCAGTATTCAATACGGGGGTGAAATACTTGAATACTTAATACTCATTAAATATTCCCTATCCTTCCTTACCTCTGGCATCCACCAATTTGCTTTCTGCTGCTGTGAATTTACCTATTCTGGGTATTTTATAAATGGAATCATATCTAGTCTTTCATCTGATTTCTTTCACTCAGCATATTTGCAAGGTTCATCTATATTGTAGCATGTATCAATACTTTGTTCCTTTTCATGGCTGAATAATATTCCAACATAAGGATATATCATAGTTTGTTTATTCAATCATCTGCCGATGGGTATATTGTGTTTTTTTTTTTATTACTTTTCCCTATGAATATTTGTGTACAAGTATTTGTTTGAGTCCCTGTTTTCAGTTCTTTTGGGTATGTGCCTAGGAGTGGAATTGCTGGGTTATATGGTCCAATTCTGATACCAAAAGTGTGTGTGTGTGTGTTTCCAATACCAACAAACAATTCTCTGACACCAGCCGGGTATCCTATAGTTCAGCTCAATTCTGATACTACCTACCCAGAGGTAACGTCACATTCTACAGATTAAGGGCCCAGTCCTACAATACTTCAGACACACATATTTCATGTGCCAATTGCAAGTTCAGTTTGTTGCCATAGTTCTGACCAACCAGCAGTAGATCATTGGTACTGGGTGCAGAACACACACACACACGCACACACAGACATACTGTATAAACTATGGTCCCTGCCCAGGACTGTTTCACTCTTCTGTTAAGAGGAGACATGAACCTACTTATGATTAAGACTGTGGGGAAAAAAATAAGCTTTGTGGTGTAGACATTTAGAGAGTACTCAGTGTAAAATCAGTGTCCAGGCTCATAGTTAAATAAAGTAAATACACAGGGGCCTAGAGAAGAGAGCATTTTGGAGATGAGCTATCTGGGGAATGCTTCGGGAGAGAGGTGGCTCTCCCCTGGGAAGTTCCCAGCTCTCCTGTGTTTCCTGGGAGCACATAGATGGTGAAGCCAGTGAGGAAACTGAGGCCCAGAGGACAGAAGTGATGGTGCTGCCTTACGGGCTCAAAGTGCCCAGTGGGAAATGCATGTTGAAGTCAAGCCTTTTCAAAGGCATCTGAAAGTCAAGACTCTTCAAATGCATTCCTTTTCGAAGGCATCTGCACCAGTTCACACAAAACAACATCTTAACAAAATACTATTTGGCAGTAGCAATAAATGACTATGCAGGAGATTCCCCTGTGCCACTATCCCTTCCGGAGCCAGAGGAACCAGCTTCCCTCTATCGCCCGCTGTCACCCGTCCCTCTGGCCACATCCAGTTTCTTCAGGGGAGTCTGGGGCGGCTTCCTGTGGCCACCTAGTGGCTAAGCCAGGAACTGCGTCACTCGTAGCTTCCTGCAGGAGTGGGGATGGCCTCCACGCGCCCAGAGCCACTGCAGCATCCCTCAGAACTGGGTACCGCTCGGTTGCCAAGGCTTCCTGCGGCCCATGTTTCCATGGAGGGACAGAAATCAGAGAAGGCTGTTGCCTTGGAAACTCTGTTGGAAGTAGTGACTCAGCTGATCTTGAGCAACCCTCTGCCCTCCAAACTCAGTCCTCCAGGGAGGTTTGAGTCCCAGACAGGGTGGCCCGGGGGGGACAACACCCCTCCCTACATGTGACCCACTGCCCACCCCAGGGTTTGCTGAGGTGACAGGCCTATGAAGTGTGGGGCTAGTGCTGGCATGTGGCTGGGGCTCAAGGCACTCGGGGGGAATCCAGAGGTGGGACCTGTGGTGGTGGTGTCAGGTGTCCCCTCCTCCGCTACCCATGACACACAAAACACAGATGACTATAGCAGTCGGTGGCTTCACAAGCCAGCCTGTCTCTGCCAGGCAGATTTGTTAGTAAAAAGGTGGTTGGAAGTTTCCAGACCTTTCTCCACCTCCTCATCTGCAGCACAGCACATTGAGAGGCAGGAGTTCTATGCAGAGGGAGCAAAAGCTTTCCTCTTTGCTCTCTACACACCCCTCCTGGCCCAGCTCCACCTACTAAAGCCCAGCTGCCCTTCCATCCCTGGCTTCCTGTGCCATTTTGCCCTTTGCCCGCCACCCACACTGCAGCAGCATGAACGTGATCTCTCTGCTGCCAACACACTTGTGCTCAGCTCTGGCCTTTGCTCTGCTGCCCTCTGCCTGGAGCATCTCCCAGACTCTCTGCTCGATCAGCTCAAGCCTCACCTCCCTCACTCTGGCCAGACCCAGTGGGGGGCCTCACAGAGCCCGCAAGGAAGTGTGTGTCGAATGGAGAAGAGAACCCATCCCGTCAAACCCGTCCCCCCGCCTCTCCCACTCAAGCCTTTGCTCATTTTTGTAGCCGCACTGTCCTCTACCCTGGGGTTTCCTGGCTCCTCTGGCCCTAGACTCTCTTGCCACCGGCCCCATGCTGCCCAGGCTTACTGCCCGGTGCCACCAGCTGCCGGCTTGTTTCCTAAGAGTTTTGAGCTCTCTGAGGGTGGGAGCCGCACCGAGGTTGACAGAACCCAGAACACAAGAGCTGTTTGTTAAAGGGTGAACACATAAGCTAATTTTCTGAATTTGAAAGCAGCCTTGGTTGCAGTAGGGCAGGCTTCACGTGGCTGCAGTCAGCAATAACTCGCCTTGGGCCCATCCCCATTGTAAGGACTCGCCTTGCGTCATTTAAAAGTCACCTTAACTGGCGCTGCCCAGACTAGCAAATAAGACAGGATGGCTAAAGGTGACCCCAAGAAACAAAAGGGCGAGATGTCTGCTCATGCCTTCTTCATGAAGAGCTGCAAGGAGGGACATGAGGAGAAAATCCCAGATCCCTGTCAATGTTGCTGACTTTCCCAAGTGCTCCAGAGAGGTGGAAGAAGCTGTCTGGGAAGAAGTCTACATTTGCTGAAGTGGCAAAGGCAGCTGCATACGCTGTGAGAAATGAAGGATGATGGATCGGCTGAGGGAGGCAAGAAGAAAGACCCCAATTCCCCCAAATGGCCACCAACCGAGTTTTCCCTGTTCTGTTCAGAATTCTGCCCCAAGATCTAATTCATGGACCCTGACGCCTCTGTCTGAGCTGTATGAAGAAGCTGGATGAGATGTGGAGCAATTTATGGAACAGTGAGAAGCAGCCTCATAGCCTCACAACCAGGCAGGGAAGCTGAAGAAGTGCGGAAAGTGTGTCACCTCCTGCGAGTCAAAAGGAAAGTTTGATGGTACCCAGAGTCCCGCTAACAGTGGCACCAAGAGTCCTACTAGCGATGGCACCGAGAGTCCTGCTAACGTTGCTAGGAAGAAGGTAGGAGAGGAGGAAGAGAAGAGAAGGAAGGTGGGGAGAAGCTAAAAAAAAGCAAAAAAAAAAAAGTTTCTTTGTCCAAGAAAAACAAAAAACTCAACAAAATGAAAACTCACCACAACCTAGGGACATGGGCACCATTGTTATCTTCACTTGGACAGACGAGGAAATTAGGAGACAGAAGAAATGAGTGACGTGCATGAACCTGGGCTGGTTCTTAATCACTGGGCTGCTGCCCTTCCTGCTGACCAACTCAGTGGCCACAATGGTAGCAGCAGGAGGACAGTACTAGTGGTAATAGTGATCTACCTGCCTTATTTTATTTTATTGTAATTTTATTTAATTATCACTATTTTTACCATGCAATGTATACAGGGTGTGTGCGCATGCTGCATACTGTTTTATTGTGTGCCAGACACACTTCTAAGCATTTCACAATATTAACTAATTTAATCTTCTACCTTATGATAGTTAGGCACTAATTTTATTTATTTATGCACAGAAGAACTGGGGTGTAGGCTAGAGATATGGGGGGGTGAGAAGATTCACCAGAGGCAGAGTGGGGAGCAGAATAGGCAGATCCACTGAAATACACTGCTGAGGGGAACAGCGGGTAAGACAGGAGAGGTCTGCTGCGCCATGTGGTTCAGCTCCCTGGCCTGGAATGGAACTTAGAGGTGATAATGCTGAGACTTAACCCCTATGCCACCGGGGAGGCCTAATGTTAGGCACTATTAATTACCCCCATTTTACAAATGAGGAAACTGAGATACAGAGAGATTAAGCAATTTGCAGCAGAGTCACCCAGTTAGTAAGGGATGCAGTGGGGTTTCAATCCAGCATTCTGGTTCCAGTGTCTGTGCCTTTAAATATGCAGTAGACAGGGACCTTTGCCAGTGACCTGGAGCTGCCACCCACCTGCAGGCACATCTGCCCACAGAGGACATGAAGACAGAGAGAACATATCTGAGCCAGCTTGCTGGCTCAAATTCCTGCCAAGGAGGGAGGAAGCCCCACTAGGAGCCTGTGTGACCTCTAGAAAATGGCTTGGTTTCTCTGTTCATTTTCCCTTTGGTGTAAAGGACAAGGTGATGGGCTTTTGCAGAATGGCAACAAGCTTTGGGATGTTCATTCACAAGGAGCGAAGTATCTTTGCCAGAAGGCTATGGAGAGGATCTACTTCCTCTCCCTCCCCCTTTAGATGAGTGTTCCCCCAGACTGGCCTCAGCATTCTGTCTGCATGGAGCCCTTTGTCCTGGAGGGAGGGCTAGGTAGCCAGGCCAAAGGCAGAGGATGTGCCTCTCCTCGGTGGGGCAGACTGTGCAGGCCTGGAGGGAGGGCAGGGTCAGGTGTCTCCTGGCCAGCCTGCTCTTTCTACCTGCCAGCCAGGCCAGGATGCATGAATGAGTCAACCTTTCAATGCCTTTCTGTCTGTTCTGGTCCAGGTGTGGAAAGGGGAAGCTGGAAGATGGGGATGGGATCAACCTGAATGACATCGAGAAGGTCCTCCCGACCTGGCAGGTATGTGCAGGCACAGTCTTCAACACTTGTGTCCCCTTCCTCCAGGCCTTGGCCCCTGGCTAGGGCAGGGCCTAAGCACTCCCCTTGTCCCAGCAGGGTGGGGCCAGATGTCCCATATGGCAGGTGAGCAGAGAGGGTACTTGCCAGGATCCAGACTGTACCCCTGTGATAAGCCTGCAGCAGCTGGTTCTCAGCTGTGCCGGGGCCTCTGGTGACAGCCCTAACATCCCCTGGAGGTGAAATGGCCCATGCACTGGCAGCTCGGCCAACCTGGAAGCTTCTCCCTTGCCCTGCACCCCCTGCAGGTGAGGCCACCTGTAGTGTATTCCGCTGGGGCAGACAGGGTCGCTGGGGCGTCTCATGTGGCCAGGGCTATTTTTAGGTTTTCGAAAGTGGAGTGTCCTGCTTACTCCAGGTGTCTGCTTCACCTGCTGACTTTGTCATGGACGGGGCTCCTTTCCCTGAATCAGGCCAGGGTCTGGGGCAAGAGGGATTTCTCAGCAGAGCAGGGAAGAGGGCCTTTCATCCTCACTCAAAAAGGAAGGGAGAACTGGGCTCCCTGCGCGGGGAGGCAGAACATAGGGGTGTATGGCTTGGTGTCTAGACCCCAGACATAAATCCCATGAAAACGGCCTCAGTTTCTTCCTTCATTGAATGAGGATAACGTCAGTATTTACTTCATAGCGTTGTTGTGAAGAGTCAGTACATGAATTTATGGGAGACACTAAGGGCAGTGTTTGCTCTAAGGCTGGGCCTGGTGGTGGCGGCCCCCCTTTGTGAGGAAGGTGGTAGATGGAGCGTTTTCTGCACCCCATCCCCACCCTGTGTGCCAGGTGAGTGTTCTCAGTGAAGAGCGCCATTTCTGCTGGGGAGCTGTGTGGATGACAAACAGAGATACTTGGCTGTGCCCACAGCCCCCATGTGTGGGTGCTATGACCTGTGTTCATCTTGTCCTAAGTGGCCTCTCAGGCCTTGCAGAAAGATGAGACTAATGGGCAGGTGAAGCCCATTCTAGACATCTGTCTGTCTGTCACATCTGTCTGCCTCTACGGGCCTCAGATTACTCTTCAGTGAAATGGCTTGGTTCGACTAGATCGCAAGTGTGAAAACTGGGGCCTTGGGGGTGCTGCTGGGGTGAAGAGTGGGGAGGCTAAGGAAGCAGCCTCCCAGGGCCCCCACTTTCAGGGCTTACTCAGATCTGCCCTGCTGGGGTGTCTAAATCAGTCTTATCAGAATTGTTTCATTGGAGGAAATGGTAGAGCTACTAAACAGACCTTGAAAATCTCAAGTTTTGCATTCTAGAGTTTTCTCTCTTTCTTCCAACAACAATAAATCAGCCAACATTCTTGTTCTTGGTTCTCCAGGGCACTGTGTGGTTGGTAGACACTCTGCAAGGCTTTGGTAGTGGAGATCTCCAACTCCTCTTAGTTTCAGTTAGACCACACAGTGGAAAAGTTGGTACTCACATGCACACACACATACACACACCACTTTGAACCAGGCTTGCCCTCAGAAAACTACCAAGTCCCTAGTCCCGTGGTGCTGAACCTTGCTCCAAATGTACGGCTTTCTGGGTCTCTCCCGAGGCCCACGGGGTCAGTTATCTGTTGCTACATAACACATTGCTTGCATGTTAGCAGCTTGAATGAACAGACATTTATTATCACACACACTTTCTGACGTCAGACATTTGGGAGCCACTCAGCTGGGGTTTTGGCTCATGGTCAGTCCTGAAGTCTCGGGCCAGCCAGTGGCCCCAGCCGTAGCCATCTGAAGGCTCAAGTGGAGCTGGAGGACCCCCTTTCCTGGGGGCTCCCTCAGCTGGTTGAGGTCAGGAAGCCCCCGGTTCCATCCTGGCTGTTGGTGGGAGGCTGTGTGAGCCTCTCCGTAAGCTGAGTGTCATCACAACGTGGGACAAGCTGGCTTGTTCTGGAGCAAAAGAGAGAGAGCAGGAAAATGAGAACTCCCCCTCTCAGTGATGATGTGCTGCCACTCTGTCACCTGCCACGTATCGGTTGCATGACCAGCCCTGGCACAATATGGCAGGGGAACACAGGAGGGCGGCTATCGGGAGGTGGGGCCGTCGGGCCATCCTGGAGGCCGTGACCACGCCCACTGAGGCAGACCCAGCAATCTGCGTTTTGTAAAGTATCGCAGGGGATTCTGCAATTTTATCAAAATTATCAGGTAGAGTTGAAAACCTAGAGTCAGAGCTGACCAGGCTCATGGCATAACCACCTCTCCTTGGGTATTTGCTTTTCCTGGGGGAGCCATTAGGACAAGATCCGCAAGCATTTCCTTTGTCATCATGACCCCTGCTCCAGGTGCGCAGGATTGAACTATTCTTGAAGAATAGTCTTTCGAGATGCGGGTGTTTGTCTTGACTGAATCCTTCCCACAGCCTGTGAGTTTCTGCCAGCATTTCCAGCAGAACTTTGACATGAAGCTGGTTATGCTCTTGCTGATGTGACTTCTGGGATTTGTCTTTCTTTTTTTACAAAACAGGATTTTTCCATCCCCTGATGTAATGGCATATGCTAGGCCATAGCATGAGATTAATCAACCCCCCAAAACCCCGTGGCTCCACGCGCGGACTTTGACTTCTCACTGAAATTGTGCTGGGGATCCAGTCCAGGGGGACTCCATTCGAAGCTTTACCAGCACAATCCACGGCAGCCGGGTGGCCCCTGTAGGGGCAAAGAGAGCTGGAGGCTCATGCTGTGGGTCTTAAATGCTTTGGCCCAGAAGTGTCACTGGTCTTCGTAGTCTGTGAGAAATGACCTCACATCTGCATCCAACCGCAGAGGGGCTGGCAGGGGTGGGGAGTGTAGCCGCCATATCTTCCTCTCTCCTTTGTATGCTCACTAACTATTCTTCATAGGCAAGTGCTTTGCACAGGCTTTCAGAGAGCGAATTGCATTAGAGGCTGTTCTCCAAGGACACAGTGTTGAAGAGAAAATGAGACCTGTACAAAATGACCATATTGCAGAGTTGAAGCTGTAAACATCAGAGCAACTGTGGTGCCTGGCCCAGATCAGAGTCCCTGCAGGGTGAGGTCTGGGTGCTCTCCCTGCACACGCCCCGTGCTGCTGCAGTTACTGCTGTCAGGGCTTGAATGAATGCTCGAGTATGGAGCGGAGGGCGCCGGTGGCCCCTAGACTGATTGCCTATTGTAGCTCTTCAGGGAGCTCTAGCTTACCTAACACTGGCCCTAGGTGGGAGAGCCTCAGCCAGAGATGAGATGCTGACACCTGAGTACGTGGCCAAGTCCCCCTCCAGACAAAGCTGAGGACACTATCCCCAATGACACCACCTGGTGGTATTTCCGCATTGGGTGCATCCCCGCAGTGCTTGCCCTCAGGAACCCCCGTTACTGGTGCTGTGGGGCACAGGCTCCTGGAGCTGCCCATGGACCTGGGTAAACAGGGCAAGAGCTGGGGCTGGTGATGTTCACTGTCCCCATGTGGTGGCTGAGGGAGGACAGCAGGTGAGCCGGGGCAGGTGATGGCCAGCAGCCAGATGTTAGGGTCCACAAGCATTTGACCGCCTGGGGTGAGCTGCCCTGCTCTCAAGAGCTCCCCATGGGGGAGGGAAGATGGAGGCTCTGAGCCCAGTGATGTGTGGATGGGAGTGTGGGGGTGGAGAGAAGGTTGGGGGGATTCAGTCATGGTTCCAGGCCGTGAAGCCTAGGGTAGGACAGAAGCTGAGACCCACACAGCTGGGCTTAGAATGGAACCCTGAGACCCTACCTGCATTTTTGGCATCCCTACTGTGAGCTGTGTTTGGGTGGAAGGGAGACAGCTGGCCTGCCATCAGCAGTGCTCATCAATTGTAACCCTGCCCACAACGTGGCCCTGGGTCAGGTGTGGCTTCTCCCTAGCCTTACAGGGATAGACAGCTGCATTGTGATCTGGGCCCACTGGGGGGCACCAGTGTACCACTCTGGGAGCACCACAGGCTGGCGTCGCTAAGGGGAAGTGGCTTGTTCCTGGCAGTCAGAGGTGTCCACAGAGGGGTGCCTCCTTATTGGTGCTGAGCATGCAAACTGTCTCCTTACTGGTGCTAAGCATGCAAACTATCCCCCCAGATGATCCAGGCTGAAGCTCAGGTCCTTCCTCCCCAGAACAAGGGAGAGGACGGCCTGGTAGTACAGGTAACTACACAGAGAAGTACCTGTTTGACCTAACTGTGCCCTGTAGCACAGAGGCTGGCATTCCTCCAGGGGGCCTTGCCCCAGTCCTTGCCCTGGGAACCATGGTTGCTCCCAGGAGGGCACACCCCATAAGCGTGTATCAGCTACACAGACAAAAGAAGTGCTGTCCCAGGTAGTGATAGGTACAGTTGACATTCCCCACTCTAGACAACTCTGCCTGAGCCTACAGGGGAGACACCCACCAACATGGGGGTTGGGGAGTAGCAAAATGTTAGCTTCAGCCAAGTTGTGCCTGGAGTGACTGAGATGTCTAGAAGTGAAAATGATAGTAGGTGAAGAGTCTGTAGTCCAGGGCAGGTAAAACTGGACCAAGGTCAATGCTAAGCAATGGAATCGAATCTGAATAGGTTCTGACCTCCCCTTACACATCCCTCACGTCCCTTCTGGTCCCAAACTAGACGCTACCCCAGGGCTCCTTCCCCATGAGTTGTGGTAAGTTACCCACTTGAGTAACTTCCCAGCATCTCCTCAGGCTACCAGAACACGCCACCTCCAGGCCCTGCAGAAATACCGCCTCCCACCTCCCATGGCACGGGGTGTTTCTGTGTCTTCTGCAAATCCCCGTTGGAAGGCATTTTCGTTCAGATATCCTGTGTCTTGCCCAAGGCTGTCTATAAGTTCCTTGAGTTCCCTGTCAGACAAACATTAGTCTGCTGTCTGACAATAGGAACTGCATAATCCAACTTACTTCCCTTTTTGCCTTCCTGTTAGGAAATGTTGAAACTAAATTCTGTGCTCACTGTGCTCCCCGCCTCCACATCCTACAAGAACCCGAGGGACAAACAAG